ATAAGGATTCAAGAAYTTGAAGATTCATGAACTATCTATATGGAATGAACTTGGGATGGTGARAGTACTTACACTTGTGGTTTGGTTTGCACGTGASTGAATGGGATGACTAGTTTTGTTTGGGTTTCAATTTTATAGGTAGTTGCTYTAGTTGCTCGCCACGTGCTAGAGCCATAGGAGTTAGTAACAATTCCTGCATATTYTGTAATAACTTTCYTTACTTAGGTCAGTTCCTGCATTTTCTRAGATCTTTTCTTATACTTGACTTTGTGTAAATCTTGACAAACTACTTTTCCTACGGGAAGCGCTGCCGAAATTTCTACAAATCCAAGAAGTTAGTCAACTTTTGACTTGTCAGAGTTCAACTAGTCTTTTTTATATACCTGGCTTCGTTAAAATCTGGGAAGTCTTCTTTTCTAAAAGGAGTGCTGCCCAAATTTCTGCTAATTCAGGGAGTTAGACAAAATTGAACTTTGAGAAGCCAAAAGTTACTTTGAAAATCTAAACTTAGCCTTATATAAATTTTAGAATAGCACCTTTCTAGAGGGAGTGCTGCTGAAATTTCTACAAAATTAAGGAATTAGTTAAATTAAGTCTAAAGTTGAATTTGAGTTGTTCTTCGAGCTCATATCTGACTGAGTATAAATCTGGGAAGTCTCCCTTTCTAAAGGGAGTGTTGCCCAAATTTCTACTAATTCAGAGAGCTAGACAAAATTTGATTTTCCAGAGTTATAGATTATTTCTGCTTTTATATTTAACTTAGTATAAATCTGGGAAGTCTCCCTATCTAAAGGAAATGCTGCCCAAATTTGTACTAATTTAGAGAGTTTGACAAAATTTGGCTTTCCGGAGTTAGAAATTATTTATACTTTTCATATTCTGACTTATATAAATTCTTAAAAGGCATTTTTCCTACGGAAAACGCAGCCGAAATTTTCTTAGTTTATGGGAGATAGATTATATTTTATAAGGTGGTGATTCAGGCGATCCACCCAGAATATGGGAGATTCTGCAGTTGGTCTACCTTTGGCTTAAGCACTGACTTAAAAGTAGACTTAGGTTTAACTTATAAGGAGACTTTGAGTGAGGGTGTATTATGGAGTTGTATTCTCTATACACTTATGATCTTAGCTTGGGGATTGGTATGCCGTGTGTTACAGGTCCTTTTGATCATTTGATCCAAGTTCAGGGCTAGATCCAGCTTGATCCCTTGAGGATCACTTTCTGTTATCACTGATAACAGGTTGGTTGCCGATTCGTCGGTCTACGACTCAATTTCAACTCTCCCTCCACACTCAACCTAAAAGGCCTTAGCCCTGGTGATCTTCGTTGTTTTATTAAAGTTTTCACCCGGACTTTTATTGAATGACCATTTAACAAAGGTACTCAGTATTTAATTAAGGTTGGTTGGACAGGAGGTTTTGGGGCTTGTATGGCTAAAGCGAGGGGTTTAAGTGTCGAAGGTGGTTGGGATTGACTCCGTGTAATGTGTGGGTTGTTGATTTGGTTCGTTGATGTGACTGCAGGTATGTGTTGTAAGTCAGATTATGGATTTGGTTGCCTGCGATCACACATATACGTATTATTGTGAGAAATCCCAGTGAAGCCGTGAAAAGTAATCGTCACATACTTAACCCTTATATACGTATACATGGGTATACTTGGGATGAATGTTTGCATGGGTTGAAGAGTCCCCATATTAAAGCCCCACTCAGAAGCTGGGACCGAGGAACTTCGGGGAGGCCCCTACTTCTATATTTGTTCCTGCTTTTTGATGATTTTCTTAGTCGGACGTTTGGTCCTGGGCCGGGATTCGAGGTCCTTGTCTAGAACACCCCAAGCCCTAGGCTCTGCAGGGGAGGGGTTTTCCTTCGCGCAGAGCGTATTTGATTGGCCTACCAAGACACTCAGGCCAAGAGTCGGAGGTATCGCAGCGGCTGCACGACTATTCCTTCAGCCGTGCAATGTCATGAAGGGTTACGCCCTCACGACACTTCAAGTTAGACACTCGAGTGTCATAAGCGGTACTCGATTTCACGAGAGGCCGCTTGATTGTGGGCACTACATAGTACGCCATCATTGCGACTGCTTGTGTACAATCGCATTTGCGAGTTGATATGCGATAGCCCTGCGTCCGCGCGGTCTTATACCTAGTCTCGCGCGCGACGCCTATTCGATTTCCGCGTTGGAAAGTTATGGGTCGGCTACCAAAGGGCTAGGAGCGTTGTCGCGTTGTTTGTGTTGTGTCGTCTCGTATATGTGTTGTTTTGTGTGCATGTGTATTCGTAAAGTGAAGTGCGCGTGGTGTGTGGGATTCGTCCTAGGCGACCGACGACGGGTCGCGATTGGGACCTCAGCCCCCCCAAAATGCCGATTCGCGTGCGGGTACGATAGAGGCGTATTACCGCGTGTACCCCCTATGCTACAGCGAACGAGAAACGCCCTCGGCTGACCAACCTCTGCGATTGCAACTGATTAGCTTTCGTACTGTGGGCTGGTAGCTTGGCGGGGATACGCCCACCGAAGGGAGGTGACATCTCTCGTAAGGTGTAGGTAAGTCGTGCCTCGCGTAGGCCCTATCCTGTCGTAGGGGCTCGCGAGAGGTATGGCTGGCGCACTCGGCCGGAGTGGCTTATGGAAGCTCCATGTATATTGCGACGAAGGGTTTTAAAACCAACTCCTGCGTGACGCGGCCGGGAGGGTCCCGCGCTGCCCCCGTGCGGTGCCGGACCGATTGCGCTCGACAGGTGGCGTCGTTGCCGGGGATAACGGAAAGCCTACCGCTGTCCCTGGTGGAACGACATCCGGGTATGAGAAGTGAATAAGAAAAGGCATAAAGGAGTGATGAGAAGGTAATGAAGGAATATATGAATGACTAAGTATAGGTGAGGAAATTTACCTACCTAAGTAGAGGAAGTATGAGGGACGATTGTGTTAACATTGGGTAAAGTAAGTACTAAGGGTTAGGTAGGACGGATGGAATAGACCGATCAAGGTATAATGTTGAATAAGGGGATGTGCTTGTTTTCTTTTGCCAGGGAACTTAAAAAGAAGAGGCTGTCAAGATGCCTGAGACTGGCGGCGCATCATTTGTTCCCAAGAAGGGCCTGACACTCGATGACCTCATCGCAGCCATCGACCGACATGAAAGGAACCCGAGCAACATCCCAAAGGTCGATACTTTCCATTTCTGAGGGGAGAGAGTCTCAGAATGGCTAGAGCGGGTGGAACAAGCTTTGGTCGGGCGGTCGAATGTTGTAAAGTTTCAACGCATCCTTCAGTATGTCCTCCACAGCTACCATCAGGAGGTGAAGAAAGTCATAGATGCGGCTCAAGGTAGCTGGGAGAGGTTCAAGGAGGGGATGTAGAGGAAATACCGCCTGGGAGACGGGTTGTTGACTACCACGGACCTTGAAGCGATGAACAAAGAGGATTTTACGACTATAAGGGCCTTTGTTCAAGAATTTAAGAAGAGGGCGCGGAAGGTCCATGAGATTTCGGAGGAAGCACAGTGCGTCATCTTCCAGGGACTACTCACAGCGTCGGAGGCCGTCGAGTTGACGAGACATGGAGGAGGTAGCACTAAGCTCACCTGGGCCACCATTGACAGAGGGGTGGAAGTTGGGTGCTTGGACCGGGTGGAACAACGTCGGGTACGCCTGCAAAGGCAGAAGAGAAAGGAAAGAGATGCGACCGCTTCTAGGACCCCGGGAGTAACAAGGATTGTTACAGAAGTATTGGCACAGCTAGGGTATGCGACAGAGCCGGTGGTGCAAAGGAGGGTGGTGACGGCTATCAAAGTAAAAGGAAAAGAGCTAGTGATAGAGGAGGCTGGTCAGGAGGAGCTCCGGGAAGAGGAAGAGTCAGTGCCGCAGCACCTGACGAAGGTCCAGCGCAAAGTGCGAAATTTGGCGCAGGGCGGACATGGATCAGGAAAAGCGCAGGCGCCTCAGGCCCAGGCAGCAGCCCCTTTAAATGTGGCGGCTCCATCATCTAGTACGGGCCCCTCGCAAGGTGGGGCGCCCTCCTACAGACAGTGGCCCTGGCCGGTGATCAATGCAATTGTGTCATGGGGAAGCCCGCCGCCAGTAGCCGGACCGCAAACGAGTATGCCACCACCCATCTACCCCGCGGCCCAGGCCCAACCTGTGGCCCCGCCACCGTCACCTGATCCCAGYTCACAGGGCAGTGTTGTAGGAGGTGGGAACCAGGGGCAGGGCAATCAAGGCAACGGAGGGAGGGGTGGAGGAAGGGGGCGAGGCAGGAATGGCGGCGGAATAGGAAGGCAATGGAATGACCAAGGCCAGGGGTACCAAGGCCAAGGGAGTCAAGGCCAGGGGTACCAAGGCCAAGGGAGTCAAGGCCAGGGGTAACAAGGCCAAGGGAGTCAAGGTCAGGGGTACCAAGGCCAGGGGTATCAAGGCAAGGGGTATCAAGGCCAGGGGGATTAGGGAAGTCAGGGGTATGGAAGACCCCGTTTTGACTGGAGGACGGCCATCTGTCAACATTGTGACCAGTAAGGCCACACTATAAGGTTCTGTAATGTAAGACGGGAAGACGAGAGAAGCGGACTGATTTCCTCTACTATGGATGAGAATATCTACGATCAGTTTGGGGAGGCCATTGACAGAAGGYTTGGAGGAGTGAGGGCTGAAGCCCAACGAAGAGCGGCAGCTGGGCCGCCACCCCCTGCCATGTTCAGGCTATGGCAGGAAAAGGAGGAACCACCATTTGGGGTGGAAGAAGTGGGAAGCGATGAGGAAGTGACTACGAGGAGGAAGTGAGACGGAAGAGGTCATAATCATCGAGTCAGATGACGAGGATGAGGAGGAAAGAACGGAGCCTCCGTCCGTCTTATTTGAGAAGATGGAGGACTTGCTGGATAAGATGGGGAGGTACCAACAAAAGTTGGTGGGCCTTTGTGAAGAAGTGAARGGATGGAGGTCTAACATCCCCACAGTATTCCTCTATGACTCCGGCCCGGAGTCAGCGCCTAGGCGACCCGGAGTAAATGTGGTGGGGTCGTGCCCACAATCGGGAATGAGGGGTAGACCCCTCACTCCGCAGGCCCGGCTGGCACAGGCAGCGCGAACGAGGAATCAAGCCAAGGCCAGTGCCAGCCAAGAGCCTCCAAGGAGGGAACCCGAACCAGGGAGAAGGAAAGAGGCTGTGGAAGTAGAGGACGGCGATGATGAAGAGGAAGAGGACGAGAGGCTGCGCAGAGAAGAGGATCAGAGAGCGGAGCAGCGGGCAAGGAAAAAGGGAACCAGGGGAGAGGCCGAACCGGTCATACATGACGGACCGCCCAAAAAGAAGAAATACGCGGTCCGGTTGGAAGAGGGATTTGACGTAGAGAAGGTGATTGACCGGCTGCTGGAAGGGCATAATGACGTCATGATCCTGAAGGAAATCCTAGCGTCAGCCCCGCGACTCCGCGATGAACTGAAGGGGAGGTTATCACGGCGCCTGGTGCCCAATGTCCATCTGGGTACGATCCTGCCCAAGGAGGCAGAGTGGGCAGAGTCAAATACGAAGATGGACTGGAAGTGCGTAGCCTGCGGTACGGTGGATTTGATGGTGAAGGGTTCCAAGTGCGCAGCAATGGTGGACACCGGGGCAGAGATGAACATTATTCGGGAGGCGGACGCGATCAGATTCGGGCTGGATATAGACCGTTCTGACTGCGGTATTCTACATGGAGCCAGCTGTAAGGCCGTGTTTTGCGGGACAGCCTCGAATGTGCTTGTCGAGGTTGGAAAGGTGAAGGCCAGGGCATGTTTTTTCATAATGCCGGACGTGGACCATGGAATCCTCTTGGGGAGGTCATTCCTAAGCAGGACAGAGACTGTGATGTTCAACAAACATGATGAGACGTTGATCCTCCTCTTATGCGATCCTGCCTGCATGAATTATGAAATAATTACTTGCAGGAACACCGGGCCAAGGAGTATAAGGAATCGGCCCAGTCCAGGATCATTCACAATCGAGGAGTCGGAAGGGGAGCGTAGGAGGCTCTGGGCAGAGCCCGAAGCAGGAGAGAGGGTGAAAGCATTTTCCCTTAACCTGTCAGATGTTGGGAAGGCCATGGACCTGGTGGCCGCGCATGAGATGGCAGATCCAGGTGCCATCCAGGCCTTGAGGGAACAAGTTCTGGAATGCCCTGAGACAGGAAGGTTGGAATTGGTATATCGGCTCCCAGGCAGCGGAGGGAACCCCGCATCAGCGCAAACATAATCCGTGAGTCGGCTTTTTTTAGGGGACGGGTCAAGCAGGGATCCCAAAGGCGGTACAAGACGGTAGACAAGAAGTGTCGCCCGGTACCCGTCCTCGTTACAGAGGACGAGGAAGCATATTACGAGAGGGAACGAGGGTTGATATGACGAATGAGGGAATGTGCTTCTGCAGGGCCATGTCGTATCAACGAAGGGAACGAGAAGGAGTTGATCATAGGGGAGTCTGATTTCCTGCTGCCTCAGGAGCGAACGTTGATGGTGGAATTAATGAAGAGGAAGCATCGCGCCTACGCGTTTAGTGACGAGGAGCATGGCAGGTTGGATGTGGACAAGATACCTATGATCCGCATCCACACCGTGCCACACGAGCCTTGGAACATGAGAGGGGTGCGATATCCCAATCCTGACGAGGAAAGGAAGGTGGTGGATTACCTCGACGGCAAGATACGTACTCACGTCGCCGACTATTCAAGTGGACYGTATGCGTCCCCGTGGTTCTGCTTTATTAAGCCTAACGGGACGCTGCGGTGGGTGCAGGATTTGCAAAGACTGAATGCAGTGACCGTGCGAGATGCTGGAGGACTGCCGAATGCAGACGCGCTGTCGGAATCCTGTGCTGGAAGGCCTATAATTTCGCTTATAGACCTTTACTCAGGATACGATCAGTTCCCAGTCTACCCGCCGGATAGGTCGGTGACGGCTATGCACACGCCGCGAGGATTAGTCCACATGAACGTGGCCCCACAAGGGTGGACCAATGCAGTAGCAATGGTCCAACGGGCCATGATTCGGGCCATGCAGTCTGTCAACCCCCATATCACACAGCCATACATAGACGATTTGGCAGTGAAGGGGCCAGCGATGAAAGAGAGCGACGAAGTCTCACCAGGGGTAAGGCGCTTTGTCTGGAAACACATCCAGGACCTCGAAAAGGTCCTGAGCCTGCTTGAAGAGCATAACCTCACGGCAAGCGGGGCCAAATCTAGACACTGCATGAGGGAAGCGACTATCTTGGGGATAGTCTGCAATGAGAAGGGCCGAAGGCCGGATGTGAAGAAGACGGACAAGATTACTGAGTGGCCAGTTCCGTTCCACTCAATAACTGATGTCAGGAGCTTCCTTGGTACGTGTAGATTTTGGAGGGCCTTCGTCAATAACTTTGCCGCTAAGACTGAACACCTGAGGAAGTTAGTCCGTCAGGATCAGGAATGGGTTTGGGGTGGCCAGGAAGGCGGAAGAGAGGTTAGATCGTAAAATCAAGTTCCTGACCAAGACCACTTTTGACCGGCACTTGTTATT